TGAACAAATAGGAGGCAGCCACTGAAATTGCAGTGGAAAACGAGACCCCCCCCCCAACATTCTGTGACATTTGAACCCACTGGAGCTGATCATGTCATTGAAGGAGCAAGAGGAGGAAGTGAAAAGGCAGCTAAAGGAAGCCCCTTGTTTCTACAAGTGAAACAGTGACCTAAACAAACCCTTTTCTATTATAAAACAGCAGCCCTGGGTATCTTGTTATAGCATCAGAAAGCAGACCAAGATGAACTGTCTTCATTCTTTATGTCTCTACTGTATGTGTGTGACTCTCATGCGTAGGCATCTTAACAAATTTGTCATGATTTTCTCTGGCATTCTGTCTACCCTCATTTTTATTTCATATACCAAAACAACAGAACCTTCAGAGACCTCATCTGCCCATGTGGTGATTCTTAGATGAGAGCAGTCGAGTAAAGGAGCCAAGGCTGGGGACTGGCTTGTGGGATATGCCTCTTACTCCATGAGGCCCCTCTGCCAGGTGACATATGGAGTTTCCTGTTCGCTCTGCTTTCCCCCAGACATCATGGCTACTGCTGCAAATTCCTTTGGTGAAGGAGCAAGCAATGACCACAAGGCCACTGGTTGGCCTTTGGGGGTGGGGGTGGCAGGGCTTCCGCCAACTGCTGGCCCCTGTCATTGCCTCTGGCCACTCATCACCACACACATGCATGTACACCCACTTGCATACTAGCCACATTGAAATGAAAAACAAGGACAGTACAATGCAGCGCCACACCTACCCACATGCACACACACATGTTAAAAGACATGTGTATGTGTGCATAACACACACACACACACACACACACACACACACACACACACACACACAAACACAGACTTTAGTAATTAGTTGGTTGCTGGCTTTTCTTCACAGATCCCTTAGAGGTAGGATCTACAGTACTAATTGTGGGAAAGAAACACAGTCTGGGCAAGGTCACCATGCTGGCTACCGATGCCAATTTAAAATGGTCATACTAGCCATTATGTAGATAGATTAGGTGAGTGGACCTATGGTCACCTCAGCCTCAGGGCACTTCCAGTAAGTGTGGAAGAAGACTTCTGGAGGAAGGTCAGCAGAAATGATGGCCTGCACAGACGAGGGGGAAGGTGGGGAGCACAGAATGTTCTAGACACTGCTCAGGAAAAGAAGCCTACCACAGACACATGGTAAAGGTCCCTGAGGTCCCTGGAGGCATTAGATCCACAGAGACTGAAGACAGGGTGTGATGACGGGTGCTGAGGAGGGACAGAAAGTCCGTGTTTCATGGGGAAGAGTTTCTGTTGGGAAGATGGGAGGCAGATGGTGAATACCATCATGCTGTCATTTAGACAATTCAGTTTTGTGTACTTTACCACAGTGTATGCAGGTTGTACACAGGTGTGTCTGTACAGGCTTCTACTGTGATCTGCAGCTGAGATGGAAAAGGATTCAGAAAGGAAGTAGAGGGCCCAGAGAACATGAGACTAAGGCCCATGGGGCTGATTTTGCCATTGAGGAAGCAAGAAGAAGAAAAGGCAGCTGGAGGAAACCCCATGTTTCTGCCAGAGGAGAGCAAGAAAAAGATGGAGAGTGGTCACATACTAGTAACCAGATATGGGGACAGATGCCACCCAGGCACTTCATGGGGAGGAGCTAGGGCCAAGGCAGAAGAGTCCTGCTAGACTTGGGGGCCAGGGGCTCATGGAACATGTCCTGACTGGGCCATGTTCCACAATGGCCATCTGGGGTCCCAGTGGGTGAGAAATGAGAAACAGGAGGTCCCTTATGGTGCTGGGCTCCCAGGAAATCTGGATTAACGTGTGACAGACATTTGCACAGTTCTGGTCTATGAATAGCATGGGAGGAGGCCAGTACCCAAGACTTCAGGGAGGGGTTCTAGGTGGGTAGGCCAAGGCAGATTGAGGCATAAAGAAGATGTTCACCACTTAACCCCTACACCCAGGGCTGCCACTTTCATTCAGTTCAGTGAAGGTGAGGTCATGCAGATCCCTTCTCCCCCTGGCACCCACAGAGAATTCCCTTTGTAAACAAAAAAACTTAGTTGCATCTCATTGACGTGGGATCTGATTCGCTCTTAGCAAAAAATGTTCCGTGATTTTCAGTAACTCCACCAGACAATCACCATGATCTGATGTTAGACTGTTCCCAGCACACAGGCCCCCTTCTCCCTACCGCCATTAGCACCCACTTCTCCCTTTATTCCCTCCCCAGATCCAGGAAGCCACTTCCTTCTCTAAGGACCTGTCTGTCTGGGGCTTCTTACATAAATGAAACCCTTTGGTGAAACTTCTGAATAAAACAAAGCAAAGTTTCCACTTTCACCTGACAGCTGGGACTGCACAGCCAGATGTACATCCCCACCCCCACAGAGAGGGAGGTCCCCTGCCCTCCTGCTGCCTATCTATCCCCCTTCTGGCTGAGGGGCAGCTGGAACAGTAAATCCTGAGAGAGAAAAGTAGCAGCTAGGAACTCATAAATACTAGGTGCAGGGGTCTAGAGGAGGGGAAGAAAGAGTCATTCCGTCATATTTGCTCAGAGCATAGGGAAGAATTCCATAACCCTCACAGGCTCAGGGCTGCAGCCGGTCACATGGTCTGGCTGGTATTTATAACTATCTTCCTGCATGTCTCTTTCCTTCATTGAGTGCCTCAGCTGATTGTGGCCCTTTACCTGGTGGGTGACCTAAGCCTACATTCCCGAAGGGTCTGGGCCCTCGGCGGTCCTGCTTGGATTGGGCAGTGGAGTCTTTCTACTGATGTTAATCATTGGGACCAGAGCTGCAGGGCATCATCTATGTTCTAGACATTCTATTGTGAAACCACAGCCTGTTTCCCCTGGCCAGGGCAGTTGCACCAGCCCGTAATCAATCACCCACTTGCAGCCTGGTGATTCTCAAACAAGAGGATCCCCAAGTGGACCTATGGTCACCTCAGCCTCAGGGCACTGGGAATCAATGTAGTACCTATGATGGAGGTCTTGACCAAGAGAACCTAGACTAGTGGGGGCAGGAAGACAAATACTACTGGCAGAGAGCTAGGATATAACTTGGTAGCAAGATGCTTGCTTGCTGTGTGCAAAAGCCCTGGGTTCAATCTGCCAGCCACAGGTGAACTTGCACTGGGGAACAAGAAAATCATTGGTGTGTTAACCTCTGTGTTCCCAGGACCATGAGCAGTGGCTACAGGAACACAGCCACATGGACAGGCTCAGAGGACATTGTTCTAGTTCCTCAGAGTGCAGAAAATGAACCAACTTTCTGTCCTCAGGCCAGGGTGGTGGAGCGTGTGATGGATGGTGATTCTCTGAGCTTGCACTCTTCTGCTTTATGGCCCTGCCTGTGCTGAGTCCCTGTCCAGAAGGAAGCCCTGAGATACACAGCAGGGAGTCAAGCATTCTGTGAAGGTGCTCTGGGCCAGGAAGGGCAGCTCATATTCAGGTATGCCTTGGTGCCAGTGGTACTCCAACATCACTCAGCAGTGAGTGCCAGGCAGTAAACTTAGTGGATGAACCTCAATAAGTGGATAACCATGCCCTGTCCACATATGATCGCCATTCTCAAATCCTTTTGGGAATGACAGGGACATCTGGCAAAAAGGCTGGTTGGTGGCCACTGACAAGATCATCTCATCCCCACCATGGGCCTCCATTCAGCCCAGGGGTTTCTTCTGACACCAACATCCATGAGACATACATCTCTTTACACCCTATCCTGTGTACCCTGGGAGAGGTCTAGCCCTTTCCTCTAACCTCCTGCTGCCACCCTTTTCAAATGCTTTCCTTCCAATTCCTTGACCATCATGACCACCAAATGGAGGAACCTGATCTCCCCTTCCAGGTTAAGCAGAGCAACCAGGGTGACGGTGCCAAGTCTTGCCTGCTGGGTGTATCCTTCTTTCCATTGCCCATATGAGGCCACAGGTCACCCACTCACTTTGGGATTGGGCTGACAGGTCGTGCAAAGCTATTGGACGCTGAGCCAAGACTTTTTCTTTCTCAGTGATCAGGTAACAAGAAATTACACATGAAGTACAGGTGCTTCTGGGAGGGGCTGTCAAATAAGCAGGGACAAGCCACCAGCATCATGGGAGCTCTCTATGAAATTTCCCAGAACTCTGAAGTATGCAATGGTCAATCTTGATTGTCAACCTAATGGGATTTAGGATCACCATGGAAACAAACCTTAGGGTATATCTGTCGGGGATTTTCTAGATTAGGTTAATTAAGGTGCAAAGACTCATCTTAAATGTGGACCGCACCATCCCATTGGCTGGAGTATTGGGATGAATGAAAAATAAGCAAGCTGAGAACCAGCGTCCATCTCGATCTGTTTTGTAATTGTGAACACATGTTGCTAGCTGCCTCATACTCCTGACACAATGCCTTCCTCACCATGATGGACTGTACCCTTAAACAGTGAGTCAGGATAAATGCTTCCTTCCCTGAGTTGTTTTTGTCAAATATTTGTTTCAGGAATGAGTGACATAACTAACGCAGGGTAGTTAGTTATCAGGCCCACCCTGCACCCACTGCCTCTACTAAATGGTGAAACACACATGTGTCTCCCCAAACCACTGAATCACAGATCATTCAATAGCTTATTGAATGTCCATTTATAATGGACATTTCAGATCATGTGGTCTATTGGTGTCACATGACCACATGTTCTATAGTGCCTGGGGGAAATCCAGAATCTGAAGAAGCATGGCAGGGCTCAGCTCCATAAACCAAGGTGGTGGACTATGAAGTCCCTGCAGGAGCCTGAACAGCCCGAACAGAACTTTCTACCTCCCACAGGCACCCTGCACACCTTGAATCTACTGCTCAGAGACATTCACACAGCTAAGAAGGTTGCACAGCAGCCTGGGCCTTTCGAAGAGCCTCTTCTGTCTACGTGTCTTAGTTTTCTATTGCTGTGAAGAGACATTATGACCATGGCAACTCTCATAAAGAAAACATTGAATTGAAGGGGATCACTTACAGTTTCAGAGGTTCAGTCCTTTATCATTGTGACAGGACACATGGTGGCGTGCAGGCAGACGTGGTGCTGGAGCTGAGAGTGCTACATCCTGCAGGCAACAAGAAGTCAACTGTGACACTGGGCAGTATCCTGAGCATAGGAAACCTCAAAGCCCATCCTCACAGTGACACACTTCCTCCAATAAGGCCATACCCACACCATCAAAGCCACAACTCCTAATAGTGCCACTCCCTATGTGATTATGGGGGCCAATTAAATTCAAATTATCACACTGGGCCTCATTGAAAAATGACATCCCGGGCTGAGCGTTGGTGGTGCACGCCTTTAATCCCAGCACTTGGGAGGCAGAAGCAGGCGGATCTCTGTGAGTTCGAGGCCAGCCTGATCTCCAGAGTGAGTGCCAGGATAGGCTCCAAAGCCACATAGAGAAACCCAGTCTGGAAAAAAAAAAGAAGAAGAAGAAGAAGAAGAAAGAAAGAAAGAAGAAAGAAAGAAAGAAAGAAAAGAAAAGTGATATCCCCATGGGTTACTTGATAATCATGTATTAATAACTGCAAAATCCAAAGAGAGTCACTAGGTATTGTGCTGTATCTTACACAACAGGAAGGACCATAAGTAGATCTCTACTTGATCCAGTCTACTGCACCCTATCAATATCATATCAAGGCAGATGCCTCCCCCAAATCATGTAGGATTTGATCACCTGACCTTCAAACGCATACCATGTGGCCAATTCATCTTTGAAGGACATCATTAAATGTCAACTTGATACAACCTAGGACTGTCAACTGGGAAGAGAATCTCGGTGAGGGATTGTCTACTTTGGATTGGCCTGTGGGCATGTCTGTGGGGTACTGTCTTAATTAAGTTAATTGTGGGAAGACCCAGCCTACCATGGGTAGCAGCATTTCCTATAATAGGGGCTTCTGAACTGAATACTCACAGCCAAAGAAGTAAAACTCAGACAGATACCTACAACTTCCTGCTCAGATGTCCAGTAAGCACAGCTGTGTCCATGGAGCAGCAGGGCCGCATGATGCCCATAGGAAGAGAAGTCATTTACGATCCCTAGGGCTGAACTGTGACAAGGTGTTCCCTAGCCTCTGAGGTGGAACAGAATTGGTGTGTTTCTTGCAGCTGAAAAATAGCAGGTTCCTAGTAAGTTTTGTTAAGATGTACAAAAACAAAACAAAACAAAACAAAAAACAAAAACAAAAACCCCCAAAAGCCAAAACCAATGCACTCACCAGATCAATAGCCAACAAAAACTTCTGTTGTATTAGTCATCTCACCTGTTTCTGTGACAAAATTCCTGATAGAAACAACTCAAGGAAGGAGCATTTTGTGTGGATGCCCAGTCCATCCTGGCAGTGGGAGCAGCTCATCGCTGCTTCAGCAGGAGCATGAGACGGCTGCCTCACCACTCTGTGGATCAGGAAGCAGAGACAGGTTAGAGAGTGAGACCATGCTATGATCCTCTATGTCCAACCCACAGTGTCCTACTTCTTCCAGTAAGGACCTACCTCCTAAAGCTGCAACCTTCCAAAACAATGCCCTTAGGTGGGAGCTAGGTGTTCAAATACATGAGCCTGTGGGAGGCATGTCACACCCGAACCACGCATCTACTTTACAGAAACACCACTGAAAGAATGGATGTGATAACCTATACCTGTGATCCTAGCATCTGGGAGATAGGGACAGGAGAAATCCAAGGTCATCCTCCATGACATAGTGAGTTCAAAGTCAGCCTGGAATACATGAGACCTGTATCAAAGATAGAGGGTCAGGGTTGCGGCAAATTGGTGAGATGGCTCAGTCATTAAGAGGATGTGCTTGCTGTACAATCATGAAGACCAGGATTCAGATCCCAGCATCTACACAGTAACTTGGGACTTCTTTGTACACCTGTGACCCCAGCTCTGAGGGGATCAGAGGCAGGAGGATCACTGGGGCCAACTGGTTTCCAACCTAGCTTAGAAAACACAAACTCTAGGTTCAGGGAGAGACCCTGCTTCAAAGGAACAGGTGGGGAGTGATAAAGACACCTAATGTCCTCTTCTGGCCTCTGCATGTATGCATCAATGTGTGTACCCACACACACAAATGTGCACACACATAGAGACATATGCACAAATAAATATTTTAAGAGAAGATGAGGACAAGGAGGAAAAGAAAGACAAGCCACAGACTGGGAAAAATATATTTGCAAATTTTTTTACAAATTTTTAAAGATTATTTATGTATGAGTGTTTTATGCACATGTATCTATGCGCACCACACGCATCTCTGGTGCCTATGGAAGCTAGAAGAGGGCACTGGATCCCCTGGAGTTGGAGTTATTGGTGGGTGTGAGCCACCAGATGGGTGGTGGGAACTGAAGCTGCGTCCTCTACAAGAGAGGTAAATGTTCTTAGCCACTGATCCATCTGTCCAGGGCCATTAAAGTATTTTATATGATAAGGGACCCCTATTCCAAATACACAACAAACTCTTAAATATCAATAATAAAACAATTCATTTAAAAGATGTAGATTCCTCGGGGCTTTGGTGGCGCACGCCTTTAATCCCAGCACTTGGGAGGCAGAGGCAGGCGGATCTCTGTGAGTTCAAGGCCAGCCTGGTCTCCAGAGTGAGTGCCAGGACACCTGGGACTGTTTCAAAGAGAAACCCTGTTTCAAAAAAAAAAAAGAAAAGAAAAAGATGTAGATTCCTCACCGACGATGACAGGCTGGCTCCCTGGGTGAGCAAGGTTGTGTGTCACCCACCCTGCCCTGCCGGGCCCTCAGATGTCAGGTGCAGGTTGGGCTGGTCCCACTCTGCTTGTCCCCACCGAGTGAACAGGAGCTTCTTTTGTGACACCTCACTCCAAGTGGCTCTTAAGAGGACCAAAGAGGAGACTATCACCCTTCTGGCCCAGGTTAATAGCCTTTAAGCTGCAGGAGCCTGCTCCTAGGCCAAGGTTCCCCTATCCTACCAGGATGTCTGGAGGCAATTGTGCAGGTAAACTGAGGCATCAGTGAAAGAAAGCTACACAGAAACGAATGAAGCATTGGACACATGAACAACATTATGAGGAAATGGTGAGGACAAGCTGGGTGGATGGATGGACATCAGGAGGCAGGTGAATCTCTGTGAGTTTGAGGCCAGCCTAGTCTACAGAGCCTCCAACAAAAACAGGCTTTGAAATGAAATCTACTTTTTAGATTTGTTGTTACAGAAATGCTGGGGTTATGCTGGAGTTCACAAAGACCCTCTCATAGCCTCCATTGCCAGCTGGGAGGACATACAGGAAAAAGAACTGTATCCTTCCTATACTTTCAACAGGTGACACAGCTGTGACCTAATGTGTGAGGGTGCTCCACACACCAAGCATTTCTCCAGCACACACTGGCTGAGTTCTCCAGGCTCATCCAACTCTGTAAGGCCTGTCTAGAGATGACATCAGATCACAAAGCTTTAAGCTCTACTCAATGAGAATGCACAACCCAGCCCCCTGCAGGTGCCAATCACAGCTCCAGGTTGTGACCTATATGTTGAGGGTTCCTGCAGGCCCCTCCTTGGGTCGGGGTCACTAGAAGAACTCAGGGGAGTGCTGGCTTACACTTGCCCACTACTGTATTATAAAGGCCATGGTGAAGGGTGACCACAGCTACCATACCAGAAATGCCTCAGGGTGAGGCACCTGGAAGGGGATGCCTCCATGTCACTTTCAGGTCCACTGCCCTCTGGCACCTCCCATGGTCAGATGTTTGGATACTCCTGCACCATCCTTTACTTTTAACTGTGGCTCTAAGGTGTAGTTGGGCTGATGCTGTCACTGGTATCCAGTTGCTCCCCCTCCATGGAGGCTGGAGAAGGGGAGGGATTGAGAATCCCAAACCTCTGTCCTATTTTGAACTTCCTGATATACAACCCCACAGTGAGGCAACCTGGATGTCACTAGCCAACCCATGAAGGGTGTTCCTGCCACACTGGAGAGTCTAAAGGATTTTAGGTGTGTCCAACCTCTAGACATCATGACACACAATACTGCCACCCACAAAGTTCATGTGTAGAACCTTCACAATCGAGTTACAAAAAAACCAACCCTGGCCCCCCAACCCCTCAGGACTGGAAAGATGACTCAGTAAAATGATCAATGCACAATGAGGACCTGAGTTTGATCCCAGCATTCATCTTAAAAATCAGATGTGCTGGGCTAGAGAGACGACTCAGGAGTTAAGAGCACTGGAGGCTCTCCCCAGGAACCACACTTAGTTCCTAAGATGCTCCTGAATGCACACAGCTGACTGTTATGCTAGTTCCCAGAGGATCAGATGCCCTCTTCTGGCCTCTTCAGGCACTGCACATATGTGGTGTTCAGAGACATGTGCAGGCCAAGCGAGCACCCATACACATAAGATAAAAATAAATCTAAAAGAAAAAAGGTGAAGAGTGGTCAAGGAAGATACCTAAAGTTGATCTTTGGCCTTTACATGTGTGTGAGTGCACAAAAAATTGTGAAAAAGTCTCCTAATTTTCTAAGCATATTCACAATTTTATGTTCAACCACACATAGGCTAGCTAGCTGTCCTCAGTCACATGCAGACTGCAGGTTGGACAGATGTGGCAGGAACTTTGGGTCAGGAATCAAATACATTTCACAGCAACATGTGACATTGGTGAGAGGCAGCTGTCAACCAGTATTGATATATTGCTGTCAATTAAACCTATCTCCTGTGTCCCTGTGTGTCCTTTATTGGCTCCAAGGCTCATCCAGGATCCCACATGACCTGCCTCCTGCCTCCTGCCTCCTGTGGCTCTTCTGGGCTTGAACCATTTCCCACAGTCTCTGATGAGGCCGTGAGTTCTGAGGTAGCTGCTCAGCTGTCCTGTAGGGCCCTGAGCTAGGGAATGTCCCATTTTCTTAGTGTTAGATGGGGTCAAGGGTTACGGAAGAAGGCAGCCCTCTTCTAACTTCCCACCACAAGTCCCCACTATCCACATGACTTGTCCCTGGGTATCATGGCTGGGCTTCCTGCAAGGTCTCTGCTACACATAGCTTCTCTCTTTTCTCAGGAAGGATGAGGCTCTGGCTGCATGTGCTGAGATCTGATCTGCCCCACCTTCAAAAGGAGGATGGGCCTTGGCATGTTTCTCTGGGATTCTTATGGATGGGACATTTGTTCTCTTCCTCCCCACCATAATGATACAGTCTATCATTGTATGAATTCCCTGTGGAGGTAGAGCTTGCCACAGAACATATATGGAGGTCCTGTCAGGGGACAACTTGCAGAAGTCCCCTCCTTCTACTGTGTGGCACCCAGAATTGAGCTCAGGTTGTCAGGCTTGGTGGCAGGTGCCTTTTTTTTTTTTTTTTTAAACTATGGTGAATTGAAACCTAACACTATTCAAAATTTTCAGCTTTGGCTATTGGATCTCTTTTGAATAAAACCGTTTTTAGTCAACTAAGTCATTATTAGATGAAAGAAGAAGCAACAAAGAGGAAGTAGTAAGTAATACTAGAGCAATAAGTGCCCTATTGTGGGTGTATGTGTGTGCACGCTCGTGTGCATACACACACACAGAGAGAGAGAGAGAGAGAGAGAGAGAGAGAGAGAGAGAGAGAGAGAGACAGAGAGAGAGAGAGACAGAGAGAGACAGAGAGACAGAGAGACAGAGAGACAGGAGACATACAGGGACATATATACACAACACACAGAGAGAGATACACACAAATACTCACAAATAAAACACACAAATACACAACATACAAAACATACGTATACACAAAGACACACATACAAACATAAAATCCTCACAAGTAAACACACAAATAGACAACATACAAACACACTCATATATACAGAGACAACACATACAAAGACAAACAAACCTACAATATAGAAAACCACACACAGAGATATACATAAACATACATAACACATAAAAAATACACACATAAAAGTACACACATTAACATAAACATAAAAAATACACACATTAACACAAACATACAAATACATATATATACACACATAGATATACACAAACACACACAGAAAACACACAAATGTACACACATACATATACAAACACACAGAGAGACAGAAATACACACACACACACACACACACACACACAATCTTGGAGATCTGGGCAGCCAGCAATGGGCCTGGCCTCAGAACAAGGGTCTATCATAGAGTCAAAGTGGACCCCTGAGCCATCTCTTTGGAGCTGAACATGCGGCTTTGGGCCTCTGACTTCTGAGGACCAGTATCGCCTCTACTGGGAGTGGGCCATACTCTAGGGTACCCTGAAGTAGGCAGTAGGCAGTAGGCAGTAGGCAGGATATACCATTTCCTCCTAGAGAGAGTCACAGCAGAAGATGGGATGCAAAGGTATCCAAAGGTTATGTTGCTAGGTGGTCCTACAACATGTGGGCTCCCTGGCCCTGCTGGTGGGCTCAGGGAATGTGGTTTAACCTGGTGTTGGGGGAACTGGCCTGGGGTCCCCACCGTTTGGAGAATACAGAGTAAGGCCACCTGAGCAGTACACCTGGCTCCACTGTCTTCTCATAGGCATACAGTAATTGGGGAAGAGATTCTAGGTGGTTCCAGGCCTGGAGGCAGCCTGGCTCTTCTTTCCGTGCAGGTGGAGAAAAGTGTTGAGGAGTAAGCAAAATTAAATGATGAGCAAGCAGAAGACTTCTGCAGGTGGCCAACTCTTGTCACCCCTAAGGCTTTGCTTGGGCCTCACCTAGGCTGGCCAGAACCCCAGCTGGGCTCTGAACTCTACCCTGAGTGACACATGGTCACACCTCATCTACCCTACAGTCTCAAGACAGGGACTCTGGAAGATGAGAGCTAAAGAAGAGCCACCTGGAGCTCTGGAAGAGCCCCCAGGGAGAGGGATAAAAGAGGAAGACTGTAGCAACAGGCACCAGTGCAGCCTTCCTGAGTGGGTAGCCATCTTGGCCATCTTCCCAGCACGAACACTGGTAGTCAGTACAGGGCTTTGTTCCACTGGCTTCTAGAAGGCCCAGGGGTCACTCCCTCAGTTACCTGTTTTTCCCACCACAGTGCCCCACGGTCAGTAGGACTCTATATCACAGGGGGTGAAAGGACAGCCATGCAGTCCTTGCTGGAGTACCCAGAAGTGGTCTCAGGTGTTTCCAAAGGCCCAGACTTAACCAGATTTTATGGTGGGCACTCATGTTATGGCCAGGCACACCATGGCCTTCAAAGCCCACTTAGCATGGTCCACGTGTGTTTGAATTTGCACTACTGTGCTGTCCATGGCTTATGTCATACTGTATTATTACAGATGATGTCTTAAAGATTCCTTTAGACATGAGTGAGGCCCAGACCCTCCTGTGGGCCCCTGATGTTTGAAGTAAGCAAAAAGTTGTCCCCTTGCAAAGAGTGACTGGTGGCGTCTCAGATGGTTCTTTATTGTTATGTGTCTATTATTTATGTGTGTATTACTGGGATGGGGTAAGGGAGGGTGGAGGCATGTAGAGGCCAGAGGTGAACCTCAGGTGTCCTTCCTCAGGAGCCATGAAACTGTTTATTGAGACAGGGTCCCTCACTGGCTTGGGAGTCACCAAATAGGCTAGGCCGGCTGGCCAGGGAGTGCCAAGAATCCTCCTGTCTCAGCATCCATAGCGCTGGAATTACAAGCATGCAATGCCATGCCTGACTTCTTTAACACAGGTTCTGAGGAAACGGACCTCAGGTCTTCATGCTCTGGGGGAAAACACTTAACCAACTAAGCCATCTCCTCACCCTATTTATTTTTGAGCTGGGGTTTCACTATGTGGGTTAGGCTAGCCTCTAACTTGTTATACTCCTCCTGCCTCAACCTCATAGGTGCTGGTTGTGAAAAACATGTCTTGTTTTTGTTTTCTATCAGAGATGGCTAGCCCACCAAGGACCAATACCCATAAACTTCCCCCATCTTGAATGGCCCAGGCCCTGGACATTCCTAAGCCTTGACTCTATCACACCCTTCCCCTCTGTGATTATGAACTGGCCAATAGCATCAGATCATGTGACTCTGCTGGAGTCCTATTTCAGGATTAACACCAGGAGGATTTAGGGACACAGGGTCTCTAATCCAAACACTAAAGGTTCAAATGTAGCTGGGCATGTTAGTACACTCTCATAACCAATGCCAGGCATTGGGTTCTTCTCTTACTGCTCCCCTTGACTCCACCCCCTCCCGGCACTGCAGTGTGGCTCAACCCACCCACTGGGAGGCCTCATACACCTACAAAAGCCTTGGGCATGGCCAGGGCAGCTGCAGGTATAGAAACTGCCCCCCTTCCGGCTTGCCCTTCTTCCTTCCCCAAACGCAGCCACTAGGTTACAAGGGCTGTTGACAGATGGGAGGGCACATCCTACCTACTGGGTCAGCTGTGGTCTGAGGTCCCCACCCAGTGGGGAACCACAGAAGGGAGGGGAGTGGCGAGGAAGGGAGGAAGGGGGGGTGAAGGGAGAGGAGGGGAGAGAGGAGAGGAGAGGAGAGGAGAGGAGAGGAGAGGAGAGGAGAGAGGAGCACCATGGAGCACTGGAAACGAATCAAGATTGCCAAATGCCAGATACTGATCACCAACTTCTTTGTCTTGGTAACATGCAAGTGAAATAGGAGTGGGTGGGTAGGTGGGCAGTAGGGGAAATAATTCACCAAGCCCAGGCCCTCTAGCACTGTGATCTCCCTTCCCCTGACACCACAGTCCTGCATACTGGGTCTGGGTCCCTGGTGGCCACCCTTAGAGAACTGTGAACACCTGTCCTTGTAGGCACAGCTGTCACCCCAAGAGGCCATGAAGAGCCTGGGAGAAGCTAGGTTGGCTGGTGATTTGGAGTGCTCAGGGACTGCCAGGAAGGGGTGCAGGGTTTCTACAGACAGTTTGATGTGATCTTCTGGGCCCTTAGAGAAAATGGGCACAAGTATGTGTGCTTCATATTTATGTGTGTGTGTGTGTGTGTGTGTGTGTGTGTGTGTGTGTGTTAGCATGTCTGTGGGAGGACCTGCCCCCTACCCCCATCCACAGAAACATGTAGGCCTCCTGCAGCTTCTTTGCTCCTGGAAGGAGCCAGTCTGGGGTGTCTAGAAGCCCAGGCCCTACACTCTCATTGTGGGAGGGCCTTTGTAAATGTCCCCAGCTCTGATGATGAGCCCACCTCACTCCCAGCTGCTGGCCCTCTCTATGGTCACTATGGCAGTTGTCACTCACTTTGGAGACCACTTGACTGTCATTGGACATGTATCCTTGGAGAGGAACCCCTATGAAGCAATGCACTACTGGGGTAAGTGAGGCCAGAAATGGCCATGGAGTGGAGACGGGAGGGCCCCAGGGCCAAAAGCATCTGTGAGGAACTGACCTGACTCCTCAGCCCTAGGCTGTCCAGAGGACCTAGCTTTGGGCAGAAGTCAGAGGTCAGGGGCTGGGAGGGGACACCCCAGTACCCTGGTTTCACTAACAAAAGTGGGGAGATTTAGGCAACATTGGGCACTCCTGCCCTAATTCTTCTGTCACATAGGAGTGTTCAAGCTGTGGCAGCCCCCAGATCTGTGCTTTCAGGGTAGGGATCAGATGAGCCCATGGGACTCAGCAGTGAATACCATATTCAGAAGGCAGAAAATGCCCAGCTAGGGCCAAGCCTGCCAGAGGGTCCCCTTCCACAAGAGCAAGGCCACTTTAATGAGGAGGTGTTCCTGGTAGGAATGTAAAGAACTTAGGAAGGTGACCACCTAGTAGGAAAGGTTGGGAGAAAGTGAGGCCCCTGAATGGGGAATTGTCAGCCTCAGTCCCTAGGCCCCCTGCCTCCAAGGCTCTAAGCCCCGCCCAGGCAGGAAGCCTGAGGCCTGGGCCTGGACTGATAAGGTCATAACCCCACACTGCCACCTGTCACTAGAGTGTGGGGATGTGGCTTCAAGATAGTCTGTGAGGCAGGGAAGGTAGGAGAAATGGGGGAAGGAGTACGACCCCTAGCTTGCTCTCTGCTCTTACCCCTTCCTTCCCAGCCTTGGGAGGAAACAGGCTATAGGGCTATGAGACACCCCTTGTTTTGGGAGCCAGAACCTAGAAGTTCAGTTCTAGCTCTGTGATCCCCAAAGTAGATTTCAGATCCAACCTCTGTGCCCAGTCCCCATGCTAGATCCCTTACCCTCTGCCTTTCCCTTCCCACAGCCTTCTACATGACCATTAGCCTAGCATGTCTACTGAGCCTGAGCGCTGCCCTGAGCACCATAGCCACTGTGAGGGAGGCCCATGGCCTCATGGCTGCGGTAAGTTCTGTGTGCTGCCAGATGACCCCCTGCTTCCAGCTCTCAGACAGGGACAAGAGCTGGAGAGAAATAAGCCCAGGGAGCTGCCTGACCCCAGCAGAAGCAACCAGAAAGAAGCAAAGGTCAGGGGATAGGCACCAGTGAGTTTCTCCACCTACACAGTTAGCACCTCCCACTTGTCCAATCAGGACCCTCCTACCTGAGCCAGTCAAGAACCTCCCCTTGGGTTATTCAGAAGTCTCCATGTCACCCCATCTTCCTCAGATCTAACAACGGTTCTGCAGGGCCCTTGAAAGAGAGTTGGCCCTCGCAGCCCTGGGGTCATCTCCAAAGGTCCTAGCAAGGCCTGGTTCTGGTACCTAGCTGGGTCTGGACACAGGACCAGATGAATTTCACTTCCCATTAGGAGAACAACCAGGGACAAGGAGGTCCCTGTAGCTACTTCTGCAGCCTGGGCTTCCTTCTCACAGGTCCACTAACCCTGCCTAGCCACTGAAGGGAAGTTTCCACAACCCCACAGAAGAAAGCCCTTGTTGCTGCCGTAACTATTTCTCCACATGGGTGCCTTAGTGTGCCCTTACCACTCTCAACAGTCAGTCCGAATTTTATCTGCCAGGACCCTCCCCATGGTTACCCTGGCCCTGTTTGATCCAGGTTTTCCCAGTCATCAGAACTGGGGCAGCTCCTTCCTGATGCGATGGTTCTCTTATCTGCCCCCTCCATTACAGGTATAGGATCTCATTTCCCTCCTTCATCTATCCTTGTGCCCTGCTTGTAGAACTCCCCACCTCTGCCTGTGAGTGATTAGGGGAATCCAGGAACCCTCAAGAAGCTGAGCTGGAAGCCTTGCTTCCTGCATAGACCGAAACCAAACTTTGTGATCTCATCGTGTTCAGTATGTTTGGTGATGCACCTAGGTCTCCAAAGAGAGATAGAGTCACTTCCTACCTAGAGCTGCAGGAATCAGTCAGACCTGGGTGGGCCTGGGCGGTGGACTAGGCAGAACTCGGCAGCTCTACCTTTCGGTGATTCTTGCTCTGATGACACAGGGGCAGTATAGGGACAATGCTGATCATGAATAAGCACTAAACAAAGATACCCTGGATTTAGGGCCCAGAGGGAGACCCTAGTGAAGAGGTCACAGAGCTGGTGGCTGAGGCCCCAGAGGAATTGTGCCTTGCTAGAGGGAAGCATGGAGGAAAGACAAGATGGAGGCAGAGTTATGCAGAAGACATCCTGAGAGGCCAGTGCCTGGATATGGCTTTAGCCACCAGGGGGCACCATAGTCAGCATGAAGACTGTAAAGCTGGCAGCTGTAGGCAGATGGGCCAGGGGGCCCAGCTCCAGATCAGCCTATCCCATTTCAGTCTTCCCAAGCTCCTCCCATGTCCTGCTTGGCACTTGATCTGTGGTCAATGGATTCCTGGAGCATTAGAAACTACGTAGGCCTCAAGGCCTCAGTTTCACATTCCAAACAGACTCAGGACCTGGTGCTGTACTGCTATGTGGGTCAGACTAAAAGGCACAGCCAGATGCCTCCTGTTCAGAGCTGTGTTCTCAAGGTCACTCCAGGCCCGGTGCAGGCTCTGCACTTGCTGAATCCCAGTACCCTCTACCCCAGCATGGATAGTAAACCAAGTTCAGTCACCACAGGGTCACTGGGAGTTCCACTGGTCACAGCCCCTTTGTGGCATGTTTATACTTGTGCCTGTGTGTGTGTGGTGGGTGCTGTCTGCCCTGTTTGCCCTGGTACTGTGACCTACATGTCGGAGCACATGTAAAGCACATTTAAAAGGGTCTAGGGAGTGGAAACATCCCCCATCATGACTCTGTGCCCACTTGCCCCCTCCCTGCTCTTTCCTGCCCCGCCCTCTGTAACACAGGAAATGAAAGAGCTAGCTAGCTACAGGAAACAGATTCAAGTTGTTTACAGGTTTATTTATTCTTTTATTTTCATTTAGAATGAGTAGAGAAAAAAAATGGTCACAGTTAGGTCTGGCCCTCTCTCTGCACCACGTAGGCCTTAAGACCCTTTCTACACACACACACACACACACACAGAGAGAGAGAGAGAGAGGGGGAGGGAAGGACGGAGGGAGGGAGGAAGGGAGGGAGGGAGAGAGAGAGATGAGAGAGAGAGAGAGAGAGACAGAGAGAGAGACAGAGACAGACAGAGACAGGCAGAGTGACAAGACGAAGAGACAGAGAGGGAGAGAGGCAGAGAGAGGGAGACAGAGAGACAGAGACAAAGAGACAGAAAAAGACACAGACAAAGACAGAAACAGAGAGGGAGGGAGAGGGAGAGGGAGAAACTCCCTCTTGAGAATGAAATGGTTTCTGGAAGGGCTGAACTCTTGGGCTGGCTCGAAGCCTCAGCTGGGAGGCAGAGTTGAGGAATGGCTTCCAGATGGGGAAGGCAGCACTCAACTGCCAGCAAGAGGAAAGAGGAGGGAGGAAGAGCAGGAGGGGAGAAAAGGTGAAGGAGAGAGGAGAAGGCAAGAGGGGAAAGTAGGGGGAAACAAGCAGCAGGTAACCCAGGGCCAACTCCAAGACAGTGATGCAGGTCTGGAACAGGCAGGAGAAAGCAGGGGTGGGAGCACCCCACCCCTGCAGAGCCCACACCCACCCAAGTCTGAGAAGCAGTGCAGGTGACCCCAGCTCTTTCTACACTCTTGGTAGAGCTAAGCTGGCACTGGTATAGGCCATTTGTTCCTATCATCCAGGCCTATGACTAGGTTGCTCTGCATACTGGTCAATTTTCCTTATGGGGGTTACCCCTGAGTTAGGCTAGGTTGAGACATCCAGGCCATGGCTATCCATATCCATTGAGTGACATGCTAGTGACACTTGGAAGTGGGGTGGTGGTTGACACAGAAGACTCAATGATCACACAGGAGCCTCTGTGCATGGCACTGGGGCTGACAATCATGAGCACTAGGCAGAGGCTTGGAGGTACCCAGATCCAAGGTCACCAGATGGGACTTTGGTGGGCACTATTGAGGAACAGGGTTCCTAGTCTAGAGTGACCCTCTGAAACTATTCACAGAAGTGTAAGGACTTGTACCAGTACACAGTCAGGGGAGAGTTCTGCACTGTCCTCTAGCTTCTGTAAGAAAATCAGAAGTTATACCCGGGCTAAAGGAAAGGATGGAGTGTGTAAAGAGTTCCCTTTTTAGCACTTGAGGTGAGGGGTGGGAGTGGGGTGACCACAGAGACCCATGCAGTGGTGTACAGGAAGGGTAAGAAACTCACTAGGGGAGGAAGGCCATGTTATCAACCTATGCTGAGGGTTGTGGGTTGAGGTTCTCTATGCATCAGGCTGTAGAGGTCTCCTTGGAAACGTGTTTCAGAAACAAAACAACAAAGAGCTCACAGAAGGCACCCTGTATGAGGTCGCTGCTCCCTACTTTCAAGAGACACATTTCTGGCTGGGCTGTGGGTCAGTTGATAGAGTGCTTGCCTAGCATGCTTGACATCTTTGGTTGATTCCCTAGCACTGAATAAAATATAGTGGTTGTATACACCTGTAAGCACAGGACTAAGGAGATGGAGGCAGGAGCTCAGGGGCAGCCTGGGCTACTTGAGACTCTACCTCAAAGGAGGGGATGGGCAATTGGGTGAATGGGGCTGAAGAAATGGCTGCCTGCTCTTCCAGAGGATTCAAGTTCAGTTCCCAGAATGCACATAGAACTACCTGTGACACCTGTTCCAGAAGATCCAACATCTCCTTCTGGCCTCCTCATGTATGTGTCATACATAAATGTGAATTTTTTTAAACTAAAAGATGTTTAAATGGCTGAGGTAGGGGGTTCTGCTGCCAAAATTTCAGATACAGGGAGGCACTGCCTAACCTTCCTGGGGTCACTGTTCCTCCTAGAAGTAGCCCCAGTGGGCTAGTGTCTCCACTATAATGGAAAGGCCTACCATTCCTGGGGAAGCATGTGACACCTTAGGTCACAGGTACTCCAGAGGCACACAGCACCTAGAGAAGGAAAGAGCCCCCCCCCCCCAATTAGTATTTAATGGGGCTTGGAAGCCAGCAGCTCAGCCCAGCCCAGCTGGGGAAGTTACCTACCCGGCACCCTGCCCTACCTCCCCAGGCCACATACCTGGCTATGCAGTGATCAGGCTATCTCTGTCCCCAGGGTTTCCTGTGCTTTGCCCTGTCATTCTGCATCTTGGTACAAGTGGCCTTCTGGAGATTCCACAATCCCAACCAGGTGAGTGCAGCCAGGACCCTCTACCTGGACTAGTCAGGCTATTTACCAGAGTTTCTGCTTCATCCTTCCATCCTGCCCAAGGAGATCTCCAAAGGCTCACCCCAACCCCAAAGGCTCACCTCAACCCTGATATTAAGGGGAAAAATATTTTTCTGTGGTCCAGAGGGTTTGGAAGAGGACTGAACCCCCACAACAGCTTGAGGGCATGGGTGTTCAGCATCCTGCCTAAGGCAGCAGAGCCAAGAAGCATTTTGGCAGAACATTCCCTGTCCACTGACGGGTGGTCTGGATGACTGGAGGTCTCGGTCACAGTGTGGGTGGCCTCAGTCAAGACAGCTGCCAGGTATCAGGGGCTGGTCTTGGGTTGGCTTGCAGCAGCTGCAACCCATCTTCCTTTTCTAAAGCTGTGTTTACATTTTGAGCCCTAAATTTGGGGTGCAGAACAGGCAAAGGCCTCACAGGGACCAGAAGGCAGGCAGCAACTAGGGTTTAGTCTACAGAACGGAAGGGGCCTCTTACTCCAATCCCCACAAGACTGGCCACTAGGGCAATTCTCCAAGGCCTGCCTGACCCTAAGTGGGCTAGGGCTTCCTTCTGGACCCTGGCCTGCTGGCCTATCTATTGTCTTCTGACTTCCAACAGGACCCGTGTGAGCCCTGGTGAACTACCTGGAGGTAGCTTGGGTGAAAGTTCCTTAGCTTTGAAATCAAGGGCAGTAGGCCAGCCTTGGGCAAGTCCTTTGTCCTCCCTGGGCCTCCGTGTGTGCTTCTATAAACGGAGAGTAGAAGGCCCTGCAGGAGAGTTACTGCATGGTGGAGATGAGCCAGCAGTGGAGGGGCAGGCAGCCTCCTCTGCACTCCCAGGTTTTATGGAATGTGGAACTAGTTCTAGGTTGTCCTGGGCTGGAATGAGGCCCTGTGTGGTACCAAGCACAGCTTGCACAGAAATCACCAAAACATCCTCCCATCATTCCATGTTCTTCCTACCAGTGGGCCAAATAGGTCATGGCCTTCGACTTGGTCATCCTAGCCGCCCCCAGCTGCATAGGTAAGAAAGGATACAGAAATCAACTAGGAATGCTTAGATGTCACCCCAGCTCCCTTAAACCTCCCTGGAAAGATTCCCCAAGACATCCTAAAGCAAGGGTCTAGCAAGAAGGTAAGGACAGGGGAAGAAGAAACCTTGACTATCTCTATAGACACAGGCTCCGATCTGAAATGAGGATGGGGTGCTCCTTCCTGAGCCCCCTCCCAGGACACAGGCCTCGGCAAGCATCCAAGGTTGGTGAGGCTAGCAGTGTGGCCCAGGCTGCTATGAGATGAATACAGAGTGATAGGGCTATTCATTACACCCTCACTGTGGCTTCAGAGCTACTTTGCCACAATCTCCCACTGTCCCCGAGGAGCGGAAAATGAATTGTTTAGCTTTCCTTAATAATTCATGTCAAGAGCAAGCGAACAGACATGTCTATGTAGCCTCAGAACCCAGTGCTGGTCCACAAGCCACCTGCAGCTCCATGTGGGGTTGTCTTGGCCATGGCTGTACGGCCCATCTGTACTACCCTGAGCAGGCAAATGTGGGGGAGGGAAGTCATCAAGCCCAGCCAGCTATTACAGTGTCCTGGTCTCAGGAAGAAAGATGGGGATACCCTAGACATCAGTCCTCCATCTGGAGTAACCTGGGCTGCTGTGTCCTGCACACCTCGATGGGCTGACCTGACGGGGGCGGCAAGGGAATGAAGAAAGGACAGACGACACACGCAGGAAAGCTGGAATCGAGTGGTTTGAACTGATGTAAAAGCTGCAGTCCCTTTGCCTCCAGCAGCTCATTTATTTATTATTTACAGCTGAACAAGGAGGCAGAGTTATTATAAGCAGATAAACAAGGCGGCAAGAAGGTTTATCGTACACAGCTGGACAAGGAGGCAGCTTTAGCTAGTCTCAGTGAGACTCACAGGGAGGGAGGCTTTGCTAACACCTCATGGGTCTGAGGCTTTGGTCCTTGACAACAAATACCCACTCTGGATTTCATATACTCAGGGCTTCCTCCACCCTCCACACTGGACAACACACTTACCAAGGAGAGTTTGTACCCCCAAAGCTGCTTGCCAGCCCTGAGGACACAGATCCTTGCTGGGAGGGCCCTGGATAAATGAAATGATGTGGAGGCTTGGGGTCCCAGTTTAGGAAGCCTCTGGTCCACCCTCCCTATTCCCACGGAAAAAAACTCCAGCCTCAAGTCTCTCACAGAGCACCCTGAATGCCAAAGTGGGTGCAGGTGGCAATGTACTATTCCCTACCCGAGTGTTGGGCTCTGTAGAGAGAGTCCAGATTGGTCTCTAAGGCCCCAAGGTCAGGTCCTGAGGCCTGGGCAGGCCTCTGTTGTTCTGCTCATGGGGGTGGGATGCTGGGCAGAACCAAGCTGAACTGAGCTCTAGAGCTGATGTCATCTCTATTGTCCTGGAGGGATGACAGTGGACAGAGGGCCCCTGGGCCCTGGGACATCCCTGAAAAGTGGTAGGACTGATGAGGGTAATAAAGTCAATTGTGCCAGGGAGTGGTGCAAAAGGGCTAGTCCAATAGGGCCTGCTTGTTTTGACTACAGCCCCACCCACCCCAGACCAACTCCAGGCATTCCCAGCCCTCCCCAGGATTTCTCTCTTAAGGACACAGTAACCCTACAGGCTTGAAGAAGCTGAGCCATGAGAGGGCTCTGGCCTAGACGGACCAGCAACCAAGGCCAGCTTGGCACCTGCCCTGAGTGGGGGAGGGCTGGGGCAGGCTGAGCTGGGGATGACTCATGGGGATGTCTGGCTCTGTTGCATGGATAGAGAGGGAGGAATCGGTGCCAGGATCAGCAGTTAGCATGGAGTTCCCCCGGCTCCTGCAGGGGCCTTGAGCCTGGGCTGGACTAACCAAGCACCTCTAACTGCCTACCTGCCCACTATGACCTGCAGGCAGGTGGTGAGTGAGGTCCATAGTGGACATCAGGCTGTGGGACAGACATCCTTCCTGACAGGCATGAGTGACCAGAGGAGGCATAGTGCTTCAACACCACCCCAGCTATTCAGGACAAACCTCTGTGTGACCTGGCTGCTGGCCTGGCATGTGGTTGGAAGTGGGGAGGACTCAGGGTCTTCAAGTCAGAAAGATGTCGGAGGACTTTCCCTGGACCAGACCAGTGAGCCCCACATATCCAGAATGCCTTCCTGGAAGAGATGAAATTCCAGCTTGTCTCTGAAAACATATTCAGCCTTGGGGAGGGCATCTTAGGGAAGGGACTGAGTAGAGTAGGGAAACAGAGCTGGGAGACAGACACAAAAAAGTCTAGGCTGTTTGTACATGGAGCAAAAACAGGGCCAGCCTTTTTTTTTTTTTTCTTTTTTTCTTTTTTTGAGACAGGGTTTCTCTGTGTAGCTTTGGAGCCTATCCTGGCACTCGCTCTGGAGACCAGGCTGGCCTTGAACTCAAAGATCCGCCTGCCTCTGCCTCCCGAGTGCTGGGATTAAAGGTGTGCGCCACCAACACCAAGCTGCAGGGCCAGCCTTAGCCCCACCCTGTTTCCTTCTTCCTCTGCCTTGTCTACCTGGATTTGACCCAGGTGTCCTTACTTTCCCTGGTCCAAGACTAGAGCTCATCTTTCCAGGATTCTAGGTAGTTCTGGAGAAGGGTCCACAAGCACCTTAGGGGACTGTGGAACTAGGCCAGGTCTCTGTTCATGCTTCTCAGCAGGCTGGGCCTATTGCCTATATCCAGATGAGCAGTAACACCAGGGTGCCACCCCATGCTACCCAGAAGTCACCACTAAGAGTGGGTAGCTGAGATCTGCTGGCCTTTTCTTTAACTCTTGGGAGTCCCAGGGACAACAGGCAAGCCACAGGATTGCCATGGTAGGAGGAAAGTTCCCAAGAGAAGGAGGCCCAGGATGTGGCCATTACCTATGATGCTCTTGGTGCAGGTGGAGGATGCAGTATTGGACACCTATGACCTTGTGTATGACCAGGCAATGAAGAGACCATCTAGCAGCTGGTGGCAGGAACTGGCCACCATCCAAGACACGGTGAGCCAGGGACAGGGTGGTCATACTTGTGCTCCGGAGAATGGGTGCCTGATGTCCTCTAGAATCAGCCATCCTGTCCAGGCTTCAAGAGAAGGTCCCAGGACAGCAGTTCCATTGTGGGTAGATGACTAAGCTCACCCATTCCCTCTGCCCCTAATAGGACTGGCTACCCAATGTAAGTACAAAATAAAGGGGCAATACCCTTGTTCAACATGGACTGAGAATTTCAAGAATCAATTGGGTATTCTTCAAGGAAATATGTGTTCAGCTACCAGGCAGGCAGAGGGGCCCTGCTGTAAGGGGAGGAGGCCCTCAGAGATCCATGCTGTTCCATCACCAGGGCCAAACCACTGGTAGCTATATTTTCCAGAAGCAGCTGTGATCCCAAGCCCTGGCTCTAGTCTCTTGGGCAACCAGTTTGCAGAATTCCCAAAGTTACTTGTGCTTTGGTGTCTTAGTTTTCCCATTAGTCAGTCCTGCCCACACTATGCTCCTCTCTGGTCTGTCTTTCAGTTTCTGTGTTGTGGGAAGAAGTCTCCTTTCGGGCTTCTCACGAGCACTGGAGCTATCCCATGCCAGGGCCAGGAGGCCAGGAGAGAGGTGAGGAGGAGGGAGACGAGGGCTTCTGCAATCAAGTCAAATGAGTGTTGGGACTTCATGTTCTACCTGTGAAAGGACACCTTCACCCTCTTTGTCCCTTTGCCCTCTTACATCTTGGAATCTGCCCTGAAGTCTCAGGGATGTACCCCCACCCACCATGATAAGGGGTCACAGTGGGGAAGGAAACTCATGGATGACCAGCTTGATCCAAACCCTCGGCCCAACTCCCTTCTGCAGGCTAGCATGGGGCATGTGCCCTGCTCACCCTTCCCCTCCTTCATGAGGCTTCCCCAGGCCATCAAGCTCCTCTCCCACCCTTCCCTCTGTAGCTTCTAGAAGCTCAGAGCTAAGGCTCTATATAACAGTGTGGTCAGCTATTTAGGGGGAGTAGGAAGGAGTCCCCGGGGTCCCCAGGGTCCCCAGAAAGATCAGAAAGTGCTAGGGGAAGGGCAGGGAGTAGCCCTTCTGCCTTGAGGACTAGGCCCTGACTCATTTTCCCCTCCCCCTTCACCCTCTCTCCCTACCCAGCCCCCCTTTGTCCCATCCCCCTGCTATTCTGGAAACAAACCAGCCCTATCTCATGGGGAGAGATGTCTGGCTACCCTCCAAGAAACAAGAGGGTGGGGAATGGCTCAAGGCCCAGCAGGGAAGGGAGCTGGCCTGCTGGGAAGGGGCTGAGAGTCAGGGAGCCCCATCCACCCAAGAACAGTCCTCAGTTCCCAAATACAAAATAGGTCAGCACCTGCTAGCTATTGGGACCTCGTAAGGGACCATAGCTAGGCTGCAAAGGACCCCTGGTGGGAGAGAAGCCAAAGTCAGCTCAGGCCAGCAAGGGTATCACTTGCTTTCCAAAAGACAAGAAACACCCTGTAGGGCAAAGCCTATCCTTACCCTCTCCAAATGCTATCCCCAACAAAAAATGCCAACATCTAAATGTCCCAGAGGCCAGCTGTCACCTCCCAGTTTCTAGAGAGACTCTGTTGATGTCAGGCCCACAGTTCCAGATTTTCTGCTCTCACTACTAACATCAGCCTCTGGGGACTTGAGTACTTCCATTCTGCACTGCCTGGGGACAAACAGTGGCCCACTGGCAGAGCAGAGGAGGAAGGCCTTCCCTGCCCCCCAGGCAGTGGGCCACTGTCCCCACAGAGAGGTGCCATGCCCTCAGTCTCAAGGTTCATAAAGCCTCTTTCCCAGAGTGTTTAGCAGTTCTGCTTGGGAAGGTTCATACCTTGACTGCCCTGGCCTCAGCATTGGTTGAACAAACCTAGCAGCCCCAGGGGATTCTATAAGAAAAGGGGAAAGGGAAAAGCTGAGCACACGATGCAGGGAGGGCCAGTCAAGGTGGCCAATCAACCATGCATGTCGCTTCTGTCCAGGACTGCCTACAGAGCATCGGGAACTTTCTGTGGACACACTACAGTATCGCCTCCACCCTGACCTGCACCAGCTTGGCCCTCACGGTAGTCACCATTTCTTCCCTTGTCCTCCTTCTATCCTGCCCTGTTGTGCCCCTTCCCAGATAGAAGCAGTCCTGGGTTACTGCCCCGGGTCAACACTCTAGTCGTGCCACTACCAGGATCTTCCAGGCCCAGTCAGCAGGGCGGAGCTAGCCCCTGACCCAGGGAGGTGGTCTGGTGTCTATCTCCTGTCCCCCATTTCCCAATCCTAGAAACTTTCCTGGTAAAGATCTGCCACCAAGACTGTTGGTGACTGTTGACTCCTGGGCATCTCTCCCGATTGCTTCAGGTATATGCTATGATGCTCTGCGCCTTCCTCTGGTTTGCCATTCACTCCTACTGTGGCTTGGATCGAAAAGGCAGATACACCCTGACCCCACGGTAGGACACCCTCTCTCCAGAAGAGTCTTTCAGCACCATAGGGTCCCAGTGTATCTATCTCTCCCACCATGGATGTGTTATCTGTGCTCAGTAGGGCAGGTGTGGCCTCCATAGGAAGCTCTGTGGAAGTGTGGGCTGACAACATGCCATCCTCTATTCTGCCCACTTCCTGTCTCTGATGAGACCTGACATTTTCCTGCCACCAACACAGAGAAATAACGATTCCAGCCCTGACACCAGTAGAGCTCCCAGGCCAGGATATGTGATCTTAAGGAACACTGGGACTCCTCATTGGCAGAGTCAGGAAGGACCCAGTCCCAGCAGCCCTTGTGTTCCCAGAGCACTTGGACCTTCCTGTCAGCAAGCTCCACCCACCCAATGCTCTATGCCCAACACTTGCCCCTCTGTTCTGAAAATAGCATTGCCATTCCCTTCAGAGCATTCTGGTGCATATTTTTAAGTGTTCATATGTGTGCACACATGAGTGTGTAGAGGCTGTAAGAAAATACCAGTCGTTATCCTCAGGAATACTGTCCTGCTTTGAAATAGCCTCTCCTTGGCCTGGAGCTCACCAATTAAACTAGACAGGCTTGTCAGCTTTTTGTCTCTACCTCCCCAATAGTGGGATTATAAGCATGCACCACCATGCCTGGCAGTTTAATGGTTTTAGGAATCAAACTCAGGTTCTTGTGCTTACAAAGCAAGCATTTTTTACATTTATTCATTTATAACTTACCTAGTTGGCAAGAGGAGGGGCATGTGTGCATGCCACTGACTGAATTATACCGCAGTCCCTCTTACAGTACCTTCTAGAACATTCTCAAACAGCCTCACCACCTGCTCTAGACCATTCTGGGATAGACTTGCAGTCCCTTCTAGAATGTTCTTCAACAGCCTCACAGTCCCTATAGAACATTCTGGAACAGAACAGATCCCCAGTTCTTTCTGGAACATGTAGAACAACTTCACTGTCCCCTTTGCTTTTCAGAGCCCATAGCTGCCAGCCCCAGGAACCCAGCCTCTTCAGACAGGTGCCTCAGTGCTCCTCTGAAGCACAAGCATTTGCAAACTATTCGACACCCCTCTGAAGAACAGGTGTTTGCTACCATTGGGTTTAGTAGGATGCTTGTTGCCTGCTTGCCCACAGAGATGAAGACTTTGGCCCTGAGTCCTCCCATGATCCGCATGGTGGGGCAAGGGAAGGGGAGATTCTACCAGGTGTGTTAGTTACTTTTATATCGTGTGGCCAGACACCGACCAGAATCAGGAATAATCTGGCTCACGGTTTCAGAGAGATTCTGGTCTATCACAACATGGAGGAGTGGCTATGTCTATGACATCAGGAACATAGGTGGTGAATGCTGGAAGCCAGATGTTGAAGTAAACTAACTTTCTCTGAGTTATTGTGGAGCAAAGGAGACTCGGCTCCCATGATCATAACAAAATGTGTGGAACCAGATAGTGGTAGCCAAGTTTCAGATAATGGCATGGGGCATGCGGCTATAAATGCTCCTTAGTTTAGGAAGTAGAGGTCACCATATCCTCACCTGGGATACCACTCCCTCCTGCCCAGGAACTGTTAGGATCTTGAGACATGCTGGAGTGTGAAGTTAACTAAAGCCAGGCGTCCATGAGATCATCACCCATCAGGGGGTGGGGCTTTTAGGTGAAGACACTGTTTGGGGTCACCCACACTCCTTATAAGTAACTCCTCACCCCAATAAACACATTGGTTTAAGTTGAAACTTAAGTAGAATCCTTTCTTTCATCCATTGTCCATGCTCCATCCTGGGTGACCAGTTTCTTGCTCATGTTTCCCAAAGAGAAGTTACACAATAGCAGAGAACAGGCAGTGTGGAATCGGGGGCAGTGTCTCAGGGTTTCTATTGCTGTGAAGAGACACCATGACCATGGTAACTCTTAAAAAGGAAAACACTTAATTGTGGCTGTCTTACAGTTCAGAGGTTTAGTCCATTATCATCATGGTGGGAAGCATGACATCATGCAGGCAGACATGGTGCTGGAGTCATAGTTGTAAGTTCTACATGTGGGTTGGCAGGCAGCAGGAAGAGAGAGTGATGCTGGGCCTTGCTTGAGCATCTGAAACCTCAAAGCCCACCTCCAGTGACACACTTCCTCCAATAAGGCCACACCATATTAGCGCCACTCCCTATGAGCCTATGGAAACTGCCACAGGCAGGTAACCTTAAAAGCCCACCCCTAATGACCGCCTTCTGCTGGCCAGACTCCACTTCCTACAGGCTCCCCAATATCGCACCATAAGCTGGGAACAGAGCATTCAGAAAATGAGCCAGGAAGCATTTCGGATCAAACCCATGACACAAAGCAAACATACATAAGTCTGTGGAAGTTACCAGATTAAAACTATGACATCAGGGAAACAGCTCCATGCAGAACAGAGAGAAACAACCAGGGTGATTTGGCGAGTCTGGGGAACAGGACAGAATAGGTAAGGACACAGAAAACCAACACAGGGCAGGCAGGAGCCCTGGTCAGATGTAGCACTGTGCCTGCCACTTCCAGACACGGCTATGTTCATGTCCTATACTGTGAAGAGGAGAGCATAAACCTGGCAGCAGCGTCTGTCTGTTTCTATCAATATGACAAAATGCCTGAGAAAATCAACTTAAAGGAAAATCAACTTAAACCTGGGAAAGTCAACTTAATTTGACTCATGTTTTCAGAGGTTTCTGTCCACAGTCAGTTGGCTTCTTGTTTAGGGTCCCAAAATGAGACAGAACACAGCAAGGTATGTGTATAGTGGAGGAAAGCTAACACCTTATGGTGGCCAGGAAGCAGAGAGAAGAGCCAAAGACAAAGAAAACCCCTTCTCAAGAGCACTGCCCAGTGACCGCTTCCTCAGGGGAGGCCTCACTTTCTAGTTTCCTTTTTAAAATGCCATTAAAATATGAACCCCTCTATAGATTAATCACTTATGAGAAATCCAGCCATTGATCACTGCCCTGAGAGCCCTGAGTGCCTGTGGCACAAGTGAGTGTGTGTGTGTGTGTGTGTGTGTGTGTGTGTGTGTGTGTGTGTGTGTTCACAACAGCAACCTGAAATAGCAGCAGGTTGTGAGTCAGAGCTCTGATGGAGTGGGTAGGTTCTCCACTTAGTCTCTCATGAGGCCAAAAGCAAGAGGACAGGTTAGCTGGGCCCTACTCAGAGGCTTCTGTCTGGACTCACTCTGGTTGCTGGAAGAACCTAATTTATTGCAGCTGTGGGCCTGTGGCCCTCTCTCCTCAGTGGCTGCCAGCAAGGACAGCTTTCTGCTCTGTGGATTCGCTTCACTCCCCTCCAGCCTCTTCTTCAGACCCATAGGGCAGGCCGAGCCTTCCTTATGCTACGCATTCCCTGGCTTCGACCAGCTGGTGAAGCTCTTTGCTTTAAGGGCCACATGATGATCTCGTCTGAACAAGAATTCTTTCTTCTAATCCTGGTAAAATGCACTGTGCCTGACACTGGCCATTTGACCGCGTTCAAGTGCACAGCTCAGCAGAATTAACATCCACCCACACCATCCACCTCCAGAATGTTCCATCTTCCCAGACTGAAACTCTGTCCCCATTCAGCACTGACTCCCTGCTCCCTCCCCAGCTCTTGGCTCCCTGTCCTGCTTGCTGACTCTGTGGATTTGGTGAGTCTGAGACCCTCCTGAAAGTGGCTATCTCACCACATGGTTCATCCATGTTGCAATGTAAGGGAGAACTCTTACCATGATTACCATGGCCTCATAATCGCCTATTGGGGAACTGTGAGAGAGCATGGTGGGGGACAGAATCTAGAACTCCTGCCTCCTGTAGCCACTATCACATGACAGTTCAGCCACCTCTATGGAGAACTATCATCTGTTCTTGAATATTCAATTTGTGCAAGCTGCTAAGTCCCAAGGAAATGCATAGATCTAGCCAAGACCCCAAATGCAGGCTATAGGAGAAATTGCCCTGAGGGAGGTGGCCCCGCCTCATATTGAGACCCAGAAAGAGAGCGTCCCCCCAAATCAGTGCCATCCTGCAATTGGTCGCCAACACACCGGAAAGGCCTGTTAAACCCACCTTGTGTTTCTGAGGTACACACCCCCTCCTTCCTACACAGTCACTTCCTCATATAAGAGGAATAAAGCACTCTACATCTGAAAACACATGGGATTTTCTCCCTAGGGAGATTCCCCCAATGTCGAAAGCATTTGGTTCCCTGAGACAGAAAGTTGAAGGTCTCTGGTGGCGAGCACTTCTCTGGTTCTACTCTTGGTATCTCACTCTACTTCACCCTATGGAATCAACATTAAAGAAAGCACTGATATGCAGGATGCTCTGTTTTGGTGATTAAACACTGACCAAAACCAACTTGGGGAGGATGGGATTTATTTGGCTCACACTTCCAGGCAATGGTCCACCATTAATGAAAGCCAATTCGGGAACTCAGGTAGGATGGGAAACTGGAGGTGGGGACTCAAACAGAAACCACATAGGAACACTTACTAGTTTGTGCCTCATGACTTGCTCAGCCTGCTTTCTTATACAACCCAGGGTAGCACTGCCCACAGTGGGCTGGACCCTCCCCACATGGTCTTCAATCAAGAAAATGCCCTACAGACTTGCCTACAGGGTAACCTGATGAAAGAAATTCCTCAGCTGAGATTCCCTCTTCCCAGATAGGGTTGTGCAAAGTTGACAAAAAAAAAAAAAAAAAAAAAAAACTTAACCAACACACAGGGTAAGGTAGTATATGTATGTAACCCCAGTACTCAAAGTGGCAGAGAAGGGGAATCCCAGTTTGAATCCAGCATGTCCAGCATGGACTAAATAGAAAGACTCTGTTTCAACAGAAACAACAGCAGAAACAGGAAAGAAGGAAAAAGGAAAGGGAGAAGTAAGGAGGGAAAGAGAAAGAAAGGAACATAGGATTCCATGCACAATGGTTGTGGGAAGACAACAAATAAAGAAGAAAAGTGAGATAGAGTCTGTAAAATGTAGACAATACAACATGAAAAAAAAGTCCACCAGATGCTGTAAGAGAACACTCATCCTTACAACTCATAACCAAGTCAGTGTGTGGCTTTAAATATCCATGGTTCATCCTGTTTCCCAGTATCATTCCTGGGAGAGTCTCTTCTTGACTCTTATTGCCATTTCTTTTATCCCTAATGTGGTGGGGTAGGAGAGGCCAGACCCCTGAATCTGCCTAAAATGAGCATCATCATTCTCATTTCTTCATTTTAGCAGTAGTCAGCCAGCACCCTTTAGGGTCTCTTAACCCAGCAACAAAGGAGCCCAAAGTAGCCAGGTGCTCCCATAGCTTCTAGCTCTGCACTACACCATGTTCTCTGACCAGGGTGTTCCCATGTTTGATACTGAGAGCTTCATCCCAGGGGAAATGCCTTTACAGGCACCAGGCAGAATTTCTATGATGGCTCACTAGCTATCCTTACAAGAAGTGGTGCCTCCATGTCTACCTGTCAGGCTTCCGACCTAGGGGTTCTGGTTTGGGAAAAGCAGCACCACATTGGTTACACATACTACAGGACACAGTGTAGTTTTACAATGGAATCTCCCAACATGATCTTAAATGGTACCTAAGAAACAATCCACAATTCCACAAAATGTCCCTGATCACTATCGGTTTGAATAGCAACATCAGTAAATCCCAGAGCAGCCTCCCCATGATCTTCTGCCTTTGGCTTTAAGGTTAGTTCTTAACCAGAAACAATTATATGGGTTGGATGCAGTTAAGTTGAAATTTAATGTTAAGTGTTGAAGTTTGCATTGTGAGGACTGAAAGGATACAAACTTTATCCAACTGTGCTGTTCAAAAACAGGTCCTCTAGGAGCAAAGAGGAATAAATACATGAAGGCCTACTTGCTGGGTTGCTCTCAGCTAACTTTCTCCTTCCTGGTACTGTTTTGAACCATCTGCCTATAGAATGGTATTGATCACAGTAGGCTGTGTCTCTCCACATTAATTAACAATTGAGACAGTTCCCCCACAGTCATCCCCACAGGCCAAGTTGATCTAATAACAGGGTCACAAGTATAATGCCCACAAGTTTCCTGATGGCTTTATATTCATCCTGTCTCTTGCCATGGTAATGCCCTTTATTGCCCCAGGACTCTGAAGCAAGGAGGCCATCACCAGGGGAAAGCCCCTTGACTTTGCTCTTTCAGAAGCATGAACAAAATAAATCTTTCAAAAGCATCTTGCTTCAGGAATTTCATCATGGTAATGAAATGTTGACTAATATAGAGAACTGGTACCAACAGATAGAGCTCATTAGAAAAGAGAAACAGAATAGATAGTTATGGTTGGGGGAAGCTGGAACAGGAGGATCAAGTTTGTAGTGGGAGGAAAGAAGGGGACAAGAGAGGGGATACAGGGAGAGATAGCTAAAATTAAGGGCCATTTGAGGGGTAACATAATACATATTTAGAAGCTTCCTAAAGTATATACATAAAAGAAGGCAATCTAAATGTAATCGTCAAATAACGTGTGGGGGGGGGGACAGAGTCCCAGCTGGCCATCTCTTGTCACCAAATGAAGCTTCCTGTACAGGGATTGGGTTACATCTAATTGAATTGTTTGTTGGCCAAAAGGGTCTCATGACAATCACCAAACAACCCAGGGGCTGTTGCCAAGACAAGAGGTTACTCTACAAAAACTTGGGACAGTAAGGCCACATTGCTGAAGACAACATCTAAATAACTCATTGAACACGGAGAAGTCAAGCTAGTGCCTACGTAGAGCCTTGACCCCTACATCTAGCGTCTTTGGTACAGGAAGGTACTCTGCACATTACCAAAAGAAAAACCTAAACACCAACACAGCTACTT